TGGGGTGTGGTGGGCGGTTGGTGTGGGGCAGTGCCGCTTTTATCTCAAACTGTCTTTGGGCGCGGGTAACTAGTGTAGCGCAGCCCTCGGCCCGGCCCCGGGCCCGACAGAGACTCCTGCCTCGTCACGGAATTAGACCTTCTTATTCAAATGAACGGTCGGGTCTGTGCCGAGCGGGGCCGAGCGGGGCCGAGCGGGGCCGAGCGGGGCCGAGCGGAGCGGCATGAAGCTAATGGTCGAGCACCGGCCGGCGCAGCGCAGCCCTAATGTGTCATGTCCCTGTGTTTCTTGTTGCAGCACCACGACCAGATAGTGACGGGGCAGGACGTGGGCCTGTCGGCGCGCTGCTCCTACTCGCTGGAGAACAGCACGGTCGGGCACGGCGTGCGGCTCGAGGTGGCCGGCGAGCCCGGCGGCGGCGGCGGCGGCGCGGGCGCGGGCGTGGCCGGCGGAGGCGGCACGGTGCAGCCCCAGGAGACGACGTACGTCGTGTCGCCCACGGTCACCATGCGCATCACCGACCGGCGGGGCGAGGACATTCACACGGCGCAGGTCAGTCACTCGCCGCAAGGGTCGCGCGGCCGGCGGGGGGGTTTCACCTTATCGCAAAAAGTCAACCGTGCGGCGCCCTGCGGGGTTGACGGTGTCGTCCAACGCCGCGGCGCCCCGTCGGATTACTTCCGGCGACACATTCTCACGCTCGCCTCTCTCTCTCTCTGGTCCTCCAGGTCGGCGACGCGCTCAGCCTGCGCTTCTACATCCTGGACCAGCACACGCCGTACCAGATCTTCGTGCGCGAGCTCATCGCCCTGGACGGCGTCGACTCGTCCGAGATCCTGCTCATCGACAGCCTGGGCTGCCCGACGGACCCCACCATCATGGGCGCCATCTCGACCGTGGAGCAGGCCGACGGCGCGCAGGTGCTGCAGGCGCCGTTCGACGCCTTCAAGTTCCCGACGTCGGACGTGGTGCAGTTCAAGGCGCTCGTCACGCCCTGCCTGCCCAAGTGCGAGCCGGTGGTGTGCGACGTGGAGGACTACTACGGCACGGTGCGGCGCGTCGACTCGTACGGCCGGCGGCGGCGCAGGGAGGTCGGCGGCAAGCAGAGCAAGGACGTGGCCAAGGACGACGACGTGCTGCTCGTGCAGAGCATCCGCATCGCCGACAAGTTCCAGTTCGACACGAACGGCGGGGGCGCGGCGCGCGCGCCCAAGGACGCCGTCGGCCTGGGCGCCGGCCACCGCCAGAACCTGCTGCGCGGCGACGACCCCTACCTGCACGCGCGGCCCAGCGTGCACCGGAGCTGCGTGACGGCGTCCAGCCTGCTGCTGTCCGCCGCCGTGTTCCTCGGGCTGCAGCTGCTGCTGGCGGCCGGCTGGGTGTACCTGTGGCGGCCGCGGGAGTCTGCGGCCGCGGGCCACCACCAGGTCGCCGTCAGCCGGGCCGCCCGCTCGCGGGGCAGCGCGGCCAGCGTGTCGAGCAGCCGGGGGAGCAGCTGTCGCTCCGTGCTGGCCTACCACTCGCACCCGCCGCACTGGCAGCGGTTCTACCACACGCCCTGAGGTCCCCCCCGGGGGGCCCGGCCCTGCCCGGCGTTTAACGAAAATGACTCTCGTCGCGGACGGTCGACATCGTTTGGAACTTTCATGACTCCTCCTCATGGCGGGCGGATGGCGGGTCAATCCGTTTAGTGAACCGGTGGCCTTTCGTGCCGCCGTATCCGGCCCGCCCCGACAACGGCCCTTCCCTGCTGCAGCTCGGCCACGACGCGCGGCCCACCCGCCCGCTTTTGGGCGCTGCGCCGGCGAGGCAGGGCTGGGCGGGATGGAGAGCGGGCCGCGCTGCGCAGGCACGACGCGAAAGGGACGCGCCAGGACGACGACGGCGACGACGTCGACGACGTACGATATCGCTGCGTTTTCATCTTGACTTGTCAGCGGGCACGGCCCATTTACGGTGGCAGCAGTCGGGTGCGCGAGCGAGCGGCGCGGGGCAGCGTCGTCGTGGAGCCCCTGCTCCTCTCGCTCTCCCCGTCGCCGCCCTGTCCCTCCCCCGCACCGCACGGTGCGGCGCATCCTGCCCCGCCTGGCTGAGACGTACATGGGGCGTCCCTTCCCCGCGCCGCCGCGTCCCGCTCCGCAGAAACTATCCTTCGTCCTCCTCCTCCTCCCTCGCTCTGAACCTTCTCGTCCTCCGCCTCCTCCCGGCGCCTCAAACGGATGTCGACGCGTCCGTCGTCGATACAATCGATACATCGATACTGCGAGCGATGCATCGCCCGCGCGCTGCTGCTCCGCCCAGCTGTGGCACGGCGGCGGCGGCGGCGGCGGCGGCACAAGCCTGACATCGGTAACTGCGTCTGGGTGAACGGTGTTCCACGGAGGGCTGGCCGCCCCGGCCCGCCCCGCCCCGCCCGCACGGAGAGCCGCCCGTCACATCACCTGGGCGATGCGCGCAGTGCGTATGGGGCCTGGGGCCTCACCGCCACACACTGCCGCTCCCTGCTCTCGCTCTTTCGCTCCGGCGGCTTCCGGTGCGCAGGGGAAGTCCCACCACCCCGGACTCTCTTATCCCCCCTGCTCACCGCTCCGTCCCATCAATGAAACGAAATGAGATTTCGCGTAATGGAAAGAGACGGGAGGCGTCGTGGAGGCGGCGGCCAGTCGACTCGCCCTGGTAGGTGAGGCCCGTCAGGAGAGCCTCGAGGGCCAACGCGCGCGGCGCGCCTCGGAGCCCGGTAATCGACCGTGGGAATGCTGTGTTTGCATCCCCGCGCTCGGACACCGGGCCGGATCCTTTTTGTAAAAGACCACGACTTACTTACTTTCCCCCTTCGCATCCTCCTCTTCCTCCTCCCCGAGTGTTGATTAATTAATTTATTTATTTATTTTGATTTTAATATTTATTTTTGATGTTTTATTTATTTTAATTTATTTGTGACGTAGATTAAACAATTTGTGTTGTATTTGGGCGCGAGTGTTATTTATGTGTGTTTTTAATTAAACTCTTTATGTGTGCGTTACTCGAGAGTGACTGAAACCATCGTCTAAGTTTGGTTGTCTAAAAGTTTGTATTGTCTTTGTGATATCATGTTTATAGGCATGTGTGACTGTAAGATTCCAATATAACTTTGTTCTTCTAATGAAGCCAAAACTGTATCCTTCTAACTTCTTTTAAGCGCAATACAACATTCCCCATCCAGCATGGGCCAATTTCTGTGATGAAAGCTATCTACAGAATTAAGATTACTAGATTTCACTGTTATTTTTTATTCATTTATCAAAAATAAGAAGTTCTTAGGTGGAATGTAAAAATTGACAAATATATTAACAAAAATCACTGTGTATTTGAAAAAATGTAACAGGAAAGGATTATTTTTTTGTAAACATAAAACATAAATTAACAAAAATTGTTTAACTTAAAGGAGCAATGGTTAAACAACCCTAGTTTTTCATATAGGAATTAGCCGTGCACATGTTTACAAAGTCCCTACGTGATCTAGAAAAATGTAACAAAAAATGTAATTTTATTTTAAACATAAATCAACAAAGTTATGAAACTTTAAGAGCATTGGTTACAAAACCCTGTTGTACTGGTAAAAATCGACCATTTAGAAATACAATAAACTGCATTCAAGCAACAACAACAAACATTGGGTTTCCTTGTGTTGACGATCCGTGTGTTTCTTCAGATTATGCTGTCTCTTATACGCAGCGTCAAAAATCTGACAAACGAATGGCCTCTCCTCAGCAGAGTGCACATGCACACGCATGTGCGATTGGAGTTTACCCCTCACGAAAACGGCGTCCCCACAAGTCTCGCATACGTGAGGTTTTTCTGCCGCGTGTTTCAGTCTCAGCGTGTGCTGGCGCATAGTGCCACGATCAGCGAAACCTTGGCCGCAGAACTTCCCTGTTTGTAGCTGCACGATTGTAGCTGCAGCCGACTGTGCCCGAGTCAGCTGAAACTGAACCGTCTATAGACGAATTCATTCCTTCCGCAAATGTTAGAATATCAACCAGAAGTAGCGCTAAGAACTAAAGCGAAAACGAAAGATATCAATGCCTCTCCGAAGCTATCGCCTTGTCCAAGCACTCGGAGAAACAGGGGACAAGCTGATAGCCGAGCGTGTTCAAGCGTGATCGTTGGCAGATCGTGCGAGTGGTCGCTAGTTCGAATCCCATCTGCGGTCATTTTTCTCTGCTCTGCTGGCCAAGTGCCTTCGGGCGTCGATCACAGCTTATATCAAGATGCCGCTGAAAGTAGTGCACTGTATCGTTCCGTCGTGGCCAAGTCGGAAGCGTCCGGGCCCGGTATGAACCTGGTTACTGGTTCGAATC